TCCGGCCCTATTACATGATTTTACTGAATTGCAAATTTATAGCTATTTTTGTAAGAAATGTGTGATTTTATATTTTTATAAATTAGTACACATATTAAGAAATAATATACTAAAATTTTGTAACTTTAGTATAGGCGTTTTATATTTCTGAATATTTTTCAAAATGCTCATCAAACCGTGGACTTGCAACCATTGGAAACTAGATATGCAAGAGTGCATTTGTTTACAAAATTGCATATTTATAGCTTTTTTTTATTAGAAACATGTGTGATTTTATATTTTTATAATTGAGTACATATATTAGGTAATAAAATACTAAAATTTTGCAGCTCTAGTATAATATTGTATATTTTTAAAACATTTTTCAAAAGTACTTCTCATATCATATCCAACCGTCGTTTCGCAACTAATAAAAATAGAGTATGCAAGTGTGTATTGCAATTTTTTTAGTTTCTTCTGTTAGAAACATCTTTGATTTTATATTTTTATAATTCAGTACACATATTAAGAAATAAGATACTATAATTTCATAACTGTATTACAACCTTTATATTTTTAAAATATATTTTAAGCCGTCAATTTGTTTACTTCAAAATGTTTACTAACGTTTTTGCATATAAATAAAACTACAAACAAAACCTACTTACTACAATTTAATCATAAATAATATTCACGTAAAACATCCTATTAAATGTAATTGAACATCATCTGTCAAAAACGTTTGACATTTGACGTATTAGCCACCGTCCATTGTTTTATTTAAATTACGCTTCTACAAAAAATTTCAAAAGAAAAATGTAAAGTTTCTAGGCGATTTTGAAATATTATCTCACCTTTCCGACCATCTCTGGATTGGCACGAATTTTTCAAGACTAAACCTGGTCAAATCGGTTTAGCCGTTTTCGAGTGTTACCGAGTCATTTGATCGAGAGCTCCATTTTTATATATAAGATAAGAATTATATTAATTCCACATCTCACAGGCAGTATTGAATTGTTTTACATAAATTGCAATACGTTCATGAATGTGGTACATTAAACTATCCATTTTGATTTGAGACTTGTATTTTTGTATATACTTTGTCTCAGTGTACTAATGGAACAAATTATAAAATTATAAAATTCAGTGTGTGTAATAAAATTAGTTTTATCTAATTCATTTATCTAATGTATCATTTTTCCTTTTAGCTGGTATCTCGTGTCCGAGGGGCGCGCGACCCGGCATAAACGGAGCGCCTGCCCAAGAAGCGGAGCCCTACGGAGAGGAAGCCCTAGCCTTCACAAAAGAGCGTTGTATGCAACGTGAGGTTCAAGTTCAAATCGACAGCATGGACAAGGCTGGAAACTTTATCGGATGGCTTTGGGTCGATGGACAGAACTTGAGTGTTATGCTCGTTGAAGAAGGTAAGATAATTGGATAGTAAAAAATCTACTATTAACTCCTTAACTTACCCTTAAAGTTGTTCAAGCTGGTGCAGCTTTCGCGACTATTTTCTCACACAGTACAGTTTACCACAAAAATAACTATGATTTTGTTTTGTAGTTTCGTATAAATAAATATTTTGTAATACGATTGACCGAGTCACGCCCGTAATTCTATTATTAACTAAAGTAATTATTAGTTAATATAAAACTATTAATCTCTAAAGCAGAGAGAAACCCGATTTGCTGTTTTTCTTTTTTTTTTTTTTTTTTTTAAATGTACAATATGAAACTAGAGCGGATGTTTCTTATGTCTGACTTTGTTAAATTCTGATTCGTAACGACGAAATTAAGAACTCTACTAATTATGAAACCAATACATCAAAAGAAAACGAACTCTGCAAATTTAGACTTCTTTCGGAAAAAAGAACTCTACTGACAAGCAAATTCAAACATTTTTCGAAAAAAAGAACTCTACTGACGA